GAACATAGGAAAAGCAGAGTTACAGGGAAATTTAGATCATTAAGTGGATAAGAGACTATGATGAACAACTTAAGCAATAAATTTGAAATGAAATGGATATTTACCTTAAAGACACAAATTACCAAACTGAATTAAGAAAAAAAAAGGAACCCTAAATAATCCAATTTGAATTAAAGTAATTAAATCAGCAATTTAAAAAATATTGCACAAGGAAAGCCCCAGGCTTAGATGGCCTTACTGTGAATCCATCAAACGTTTAAGTGTTAACACTAGACCTACATGAGCTGTTGGAGCTGTTGGAGGAGGGAGAAATACCCTCCAAATCATTTTATCAGGTTGTGAGAGACATGTCAAAACCAGGTAGAGTTGTCAAAAGGTAACTTTAGACCATTGTCTCTCCTGCATCCTTAATGAAATATAAGAAAAATGTAAGTCAATACATTAGGACCACTAAGTTTTATCTCAAGATTTAAGTTTGAATGAATTTATAGACATCAATTTACTGTATTATTATATTCATATAATAAAAAATAATTATGGGATCACTTCTATGAAGAATTGGCATTTTCAATATTTAAAACCTATTCATGATAAAAAAAAAATGTCAGCAATGTTGGAATAACATAGCACTTCTTCAAGTTGAAAAAGGCCATCTATGAAAAACATACAGCCATTATACCTTATGGTAAAAACTGAATACTTTCTACTTAAAATAAGGAATAGGAAGGGGATGTTGATTCTCACATTCCATTGTATATATGTAGAGATCAAATACAGAACATTATGAAAGATAAATAAAAGATAATAAAGATGAAGTGTTTAAGTTGCAGCTGACATGCTCATGTACATAGAAAATCCTAAGGCCAAAAAAAGCTTCTAGAACTAATAGGTGAATATACCAAAATGCGGGGGTAGGTCAAGGTCAACTGTATTTCTATGTACCAATGATGGAAAATTAGGAAAAATGGATAAGTATAAATCCATTTATAATGACATCAAAATGACAATCTTAGATATAAATTTGAAGTAGATAAGATTTGCACACTGAGATCTACTTAGCACCATTGAGAAAAAGCAAAGAATTATCATGTAAATGGACAGATATTCAAAGATTGGGATACTCTGTGTTGTTTTAAGACCTAATTCTTCCAAAATCCTTAGATTAAAAGCAATTCAATCCTGAATCTGAATGCCGATCCACATCTTGGTAGTTGTTTTTAAAAGACATTGACAAACCGTTTCCACAATTTCTATGGAAATATAAGGGACTTTGAAAAATTAGGATACTTTTTAAAAAGGAAAAATCTTAGAGGAGGTGCAGCACCTGACCTCAAGACTTAGTATAAAGCTCAAGGGATCAGAATGAGTGTGGTGTTGGCACAGGGATGGTCTAGGCCAGTGGAGCAGAAAAAGATGGTGAGAAAATGCAGATAAGCTTATGAGAAAGGCAATCAAGGGGCCTCCCTAGTAGTGCAAGGGGTTAAGATGCAACCTATGAAGCTATCTGTAGCCACTGAAGCACAAGTTCGTTCCCCAGCCAGGGAGCTACCCACATGGCGCAGCAGACCTCTCCTGTCTCGCCCGCTGCTCCCCTCAGCAGTGTATTTCAGTCAGTCTGCCTATTCTGTTCCCTGCTCTGTCTCCGGGGAATCCTCTCACCCCCCACACCTCTGGCCTGTACCCCAGTTGTTACATGCATGCATGCATAAATATATAAATCTTTTTAAAAAAAGAATAATAAAAAATAAAGGCATTCAAGGCAATTTGGTGGGGAGGCGATGTGAGAACTAAGCAGACACAGGAACAGATGGACACCCTCGCCACACACTAACTGAAATGAAGCAAAGACCTAAAGACAAAAACTAAACTCTGTGGTCCAAGAGTAGTATAATTTAACCACAGATGTTATTTTATACTTTTGGTAGACACTTTTTGAAAGGAAAAAAATTTAGTGGGTGAAAATAATATTTTCTAAAACTCCAAACATGCAGAATGCTATACTTTCACAAAGAAAAATGATAGAAACATTATGAGATAGTTTACATTCTTTTCCTCATACTTTACCTTTCTTGAAATCACTGTTTCACACCTGCAAAGGCTAGAAAGTCCTCATACTGCTATCCTGTCTAAGGTCACCCTTCAGCTTGGGACAGAATCAAGCCCCTCTGTGCCCTGCGTCATCAGTTTCCCTCTCTCTTCTGGCTCATTCATCCCTCTATAAAGACATGCAGTAATATTCCCATTCAAGTCAACCAAACAACCTCTTCCCATAAAAATCTACAACCTAATCCCAGGTCTTCTTCGAACAAATGTCCCATTTCTATGGCACTCAGTAAGCAATCCCTGAGGGTCCTTTCTCTTACCCTGTGGGTCGTCTTTTATTTTTTTCCAAATATAGACACATATGTGAACATCTAGGAAACACACACACAGAGTTTCCTTCATTGAATTATTCTATAATTGTTTCTTCAATGTCTCTAAACACCATGTAAGAATATTATCTTTGTTTTTGAGTCTCCTGTCTCATCTTCAGTAAATTGACTTTTCTTTCACACAACCATGTCCTCTGTGATTTAATATGAATACAATATAATTTTCATCAACTCAATGGGTAGTGTAGTTTTTTTTTTCCAGAACATCTTATTATTTAATACCATTAAAAATTTCATTTAAACAAACTGAAAACACTTCTCAGGAGCCAAAGAAGGAGAGAATTTTCAGACCAGGAGGGAGTAAAAAACACTGTCAGCTGTTGTTAACACGAAACAGCAAAGTATTGAGTGGAATGAGGCTCCAAGATTGGAGATGACCCATCACTTCAGCCTCCCACAGGCGGGGCCAGCACCTGAGCCCAGAGGAGAAGGGCTGCACAGGAGGGAGCAGGAGGGAAGGAGCAGGGATGTGTCCAGTGTGAAGAGCTATGGGGTCCTGGATGGGGAGGCTCAGACCTCCTCAAGCCCTGAGAGAAAGAACCTCGAGACCAAGTAACCTGGTTTTTGTTCTGGAAGCTGCGGGGAGATCAAACCACAGATATGGGTCTCAGAGGAGCAACGACTGCGAAACCACCCAGCTCAGGGGCCACTGGGGGGCCAGAGTTGTTCACAGGGTGTGTTATTTCCACTTAAGGCCTAAAGATCTAGACAGCTATTCACAACACATTCTCAGCAAGAAATTTAATATTGTTCTCTGCTTAAGCCCAAGGAGCCAAATAGCCCCCAAAGGTGATAAAATCTAAACATGAGAGAGGGTTGTTTCAGATGAAACCTGGGCTGACAGCTGACTGCCCGCCTCTTTACAGACATACATGTTGTTTAGGGCTGTTACTCGAATTGTGTTTATTTTCATGTTCTCAGAAAGCTTAGGAAAATTGATGATTGCTATAAGGCTATAAGGTTTCTGACTTTTAAGTTTTCTGTTAGTAACTTTTTTTAAAAAGATTTTTATTTTATTTATACAATAGCTGGGGTACAGGCCAGAGTCGCGGGAGGGTGAGAGGATTCACCAGAGACAGAGTGGCCAGCACAACAGGCAGACGACAGAAAACGCTGCTGAGGGGAGCAGCAGGAGAGATAGGAGAGGTCTGCCGTGTCATGTGGGTATCTCCCTGGCTGGCCAGGAATCAAACTCACGCTGCAGAGGCTGCAGACAGCTTCATAGTGCTGTACTCAACCCGCTGCCCCACTGGGGAGGCCCTGTTAGTACCTTTTGATGTAATATTAAACCACTATTCATATAAAGCAATTGATGTGCTCTTGGTGGCTTGATAAAAGTAAGTTATAAAGAGAAATCATTATTTTCTTGTCTTTCATTCTAATCCTGGAGGTTTGTTTTGCTAGAAGAAATGATCATCTCCTGCTCTAACAAAATTATGTTTCAGCAATTGGCTGTGCACACAAGATTTCTGATAAAAGGTTGGTGACTGCGGGGGAGAAGGTTACTCTTGAGGACACCCAGGTGTTGCTCTCTCTCACAACCTGGGTTGTATCCTCCAGCCTGGACACTGGTGCCTCATCCCCAGTTCTCACTCCAGGTTGCCTGGAGGGTCTCCAGAGCAGCCGATCAGCATCACGATGCTCCCACCAACCCGCTGCTCCTCCCCCAACCCCCAACCTGCCTAGACTCAGATTTGCCCAGACCTAGCAGATGCCACTGAAGAAGCCCTCCGCTCTCCTGCTGCTGCTCTTGGGGGCCCTGGCACAGACTGAGACATGGACCTGTGAGTGAGGGGTGGGGAGGGAAACCTTCACTGCAGAAGGAGAAGGGTCCGCTGCTGTTGGCGCCATTGACTTCGTTAGGCTCCTTCCCTGTCCTGGTCCTTTCCTGTCCCTTCCCGCCCCCAGCCTCCTCTTGACCCCCAGATTCTCGGCCCTTCTAGTCCTGCTGCCCCTCATGATCATCCCCTCGTCCCTCCTCCCTTCCTGCCCCATCTCCCTGGGACCCTGGACCGCGAAGGGAGGAGGGTCAGCCAGGGACTCCCCTCCCTGCCCACAGGATCTCACTCCAGGAGGATTTTCAAACCGCGATGTCCAGCGATGTCCCTGGCCCCGGGGAGCCCCGCTTCATCTCCGTGGGCTACGTGGACGATACGCAGTTCGGGGGTTCCACAGCGACTCCCAGGGCCAGAGTGCGGAGCCGCGGGCCCCCTGGGGGGCAGGCGGGGCGGGAGGGTCTGCACGGGAGACCCGACCCCGAGGCTCCACAGCACAGACACCGCGTGAACCTGCACGCCCCCCGCGGCTGCCGCAGCCAGAGCCAGGACGGTGAGCGCCGCGGCCCGGGGTCCCCACCCCACCCCACCGCCCCGCCGGGGTCGCCCCGAGTGATCGGGTCCCATCGACCTCCCGAGGCTGTGCCCGCCCCCACCCCTGCCCCGGACCCTCCACCCGCCAAGAGCCCGCGGACCTTTCTTCAGCGCTGCGAAGTATGAGTTCAGGTTTATTCAGGGCAGGAGGTCGGGGCGACCGACGCGGGCTGGGACAGGGCCTCACGCCCTCCTGGGGATGTGCAGCCGCGAAGCGGGGACCCACGGGCGCCTCCTCCACGGGTACAGGCAGGTCACCCACGACGGCGCCGAGGACCTGGCCCTGAGCGAGCACCTGCGCTCCTGGACCCAGCGGATACGCGGCCCAGATCTCGGGAACTTCCCAGAGGGCAGGTGCCGGCAGTGGCTCCGCAGGTTCCTGGAGTTCAGGACCGAAGAGCGGCAGCGCCCAGGTAAGCTACATGGAGGACTCCTGACCCCCCTCCCCTGACTGGCCACCCACAGGGAAAATGGGACACCGTCCACTTTCTGGCCTCAAGAGGGGAGTCCGCCTGGATTGCCTGTCCTGTGCAGAGAGAGCTTGGCCCACAGGCCCCTTGGTTAACTGAAGGGCAGTTCAATCCAGTCTCTCCTGACAGGGAGGGAGACCATCCCTGCTATGACCCTTCATGGGATCCATTTGACTCAGAGCCATCTTGGGAACCATCATTTTCTCTGTCAAGGTTTTGTTTTGGTCTGACGTCATTTTTTGACATCTGATTCCTCATTTCACATATACCCAGATGAGGAGAAAAAGTCTGTGTTCTCCTCCTTGGAAACCTGCATCTTCCTACTTTGTGCTTTCACCCAGATTCTAGAACTTTCTAAGGAGTAAGAGATCATCCCACATTTCCAGATCAGACAGGTTTTGGCGTTTTCTGCTTCCTCCTTCCAAATTGACTGTTCTGTCCTTTCTAAGGATGGTCAGTGAGGCTGCTTCAGTGTCTGTGGGAGAAACCCCAAGTCTGTTTATTTGACGGTTCTTCTTAGATTCCCCAAAGACTCAGGTGACCCATCACCCCACCTCTGACCAGAAGGTCACTCTGAGGTGCTGGGCTCTGGGTTTCTACCCTACAGACATCACCCTGACCTGGCAGCAAGATGGTGAGGACCTGACCCAGGACATGGAGCTGGTGAAGACCAGCCCTGGGGGAGATGGAACCTTCCAGAAGTGGGTGGCTGTGGTGGTGCCTTCTGGAGAGGAGCAGAGATACAGGTGCCACGTGCAGCATGAGGGGCTGCTGGAGCCCCAAGTCATGAGATGGGGTAAGGAGGGGTGTTGTGAGCACTGAGGCTCTGCTCAGGGTCATCAGGAGCCCTTCTGGAGACCTTCAGAGGGTGAGAATGAGACCTGGGGCTCAGAGTCTCACCTTCCCTTCCCTTCCAGTGCCCACTCCTCAATCCCCCAACCCCAATGTGGGCCTCATTGCTGGCCTGTTTCTCCTTGGAGCTGTGCTCACTGGAGCTGTGGTGGCTGCAGCTGTGATGTGGAGGAAGAAGTGCTCAGGTAGGGACAGGACTGGGGGCATCTTGTCCACTGGGGCTTTCAAGTCCCAGGGAGAACTTGCCCTGCCTGGTTAATGGGAAGTACCATCCACACGTATGTGTCACCCAAATTGGAGCTGATTGTTAACTCTCTTTTGTAAAGTACTTACAAAAATGAATCACATTGTTCATCTTGATAATTCTAGTGATAGGGCCCTGATTCCAAGCAAATGGCAGAGGGGAATGTCCCTGCTGAGGGCAGACCCCAGAAGGCCGTTGGTCCAGTCCCTTCTCATTTCCTTTCTTCATATTTCCTGGTCCTGCCCTGAATTTTCAGTCATAGTTCTAGAAACTTCTCTGCGGTCCAGGGCTAGGAGATTCCTTTAGGATTTCATGGCCAGACTCCTCCATGGTCTCACATAATGTTTCTTCCCACAGGTGGACAAAAAGGAAGCTACACTCAGGCTGCAGGTAAGTATGGGTCAGGGGTTTGGTCCCTGAACCCTGGGGACAGTGTAGGTGGAGCCCATGGGGGAGTCACCCTCATCAGCACCTCCTGTGGTCTCATCTCTCTGTGGCTCTGACCAGGTTCTGTTTTGTTCTCCCCCAGGCAGCTACAGTGCCCAGGGCCCTGATGTGTTTCTCAGGCCCTAAAGGTGAGACCCTGGAGGCCTGCGGTGGAAAGGGCCAGGACAGAGAGGATGGGACCAAGTTATGGGGAAGCTGTGAGGGGGACATTCTGACATTGCAGTGGACCATTGAGAATGCCCACACTTATGTGATTCCCTGAGTTTGTTCATGATATTTTCTTTCACGATGTCCTAGGGACTAAGCAATACTGATTTTTTCTTATCCACATGTCATGACTTCAGTATCCTCTGTAAAGGGCATTGCATGCATCTGTGATCTCACTGGAATAAGGTGAGGAGGTTGGGAGACTGGGCCAGCCCTGCCCACCAGGACGCTCCCCACACTGACCTGTGTGACTTTCCTGCTCCGGCAGAGGCGGGGCTGACTCCACCCCTGCCTGTACTTTGTGTTTTCCTGAGGAATAATGTCCACTTCCCTGTTGAAAATAACAATGCAGATATGAAATTATTTTTCTAATCTTGTGAACTGGAGTTGATGGATTAATAAAGTAGTTTCCTAAAATTTAAGAAAGGAATTAAATGGGGCCTCCCCGGTGGCACATCGGTTGAGTGCTGGACTGCGAAATTGCCCACAGTCTCTGTAGCGCCGGTTCAATCCCCAGCCACCAGCGAGGGTCCCACATGGCGCACAGACCTCTCCTGCAGCACCCGCTGCTCCCCTCAGCAGTGTATTTCCTCAGTCTGCTCCCCGCTCTGGCTCTGGTGCATTCTCTCACCCTCCTGCGCTTCTGACTGTACCCAGTGCTTGTATAAATAAATAAATCTTTAAAAAAAAAAAAAAGGAACTAAATGGAGGACAAAGTACTTACAAAAATCTAGTTTTTGAATTTCTTTTAGGGCAATTTCCTGGATGATTTTTTCCATGTTTTCCCCACCTTTTATAAAAATATTTATTTATTTATGCATACAAGAACTGGGGTATAGGCCAGAGGTGTGGGGGGTGAGAGGATTCACCAGGCAGATCAACTGAAATACACTGCTGAGGGGAGCAGCGGGCAAGTCAGGAGAGGTCTGCTGCACCATGTGTATAGATCCCTGACTGGGGATTGTACTCATGCCATAGTGGCTGCGGATAGCTTCATAGGTTGCATCTTAACCCCTTGTGCCACCAGGGAGGCCCCTATTTTTTTCTTTTTAACAAATCAAGTTCTGGTATTAGTAGAGAGAAGGATCACATAATTTCTCCTCTTAGATAAGTTCCTGTTGGATATCTGTTTTCTCAGCTGTCCCCAACCCTGTCCTTAAGTGTAGTTATCCCAGTGCTGACTCGGTTCCAAATTTATGGGATTTTAAATGAGTCAAAAATCACACTCACTGTTGAAAAGTCAGACCCATAAAACCAGGATTATCCTTTCTGAAGAATTATACTTGTGGTCTGTGGTGTGTGTAGAAGGAAGGGGGAAGAGGAGGGAAGCGTAGTGCTTGTGAGAGAAGCAGAGGCAGCGTTAATGTAACTGTGAGTAGAGGCTGTGCATAGCAAGTGGTCTGAGGCCACATTACTAAAGATACTGTTTCTAGAATAGGGAAGTGCTCTACACTGATCATTCATTCAACTGATAATTGTTGTATCAAATATGTGACAGGCTGTTTTTCATGTAGGAAACCTAAATGAACTAAAAACATCCCCAGCTTGCAGGCCTGTGGACGTGTGTCCTAGTGGGAAGGGGAGACAGGAGTCTGTGTGATAGTAAATAAGGGACGTGTCTGGTTAGCAGTGGGTAAGGGTTGTGGGAAGGTGACCAGAGTCAGCGTGCGGGGACAGGGAGGATGGCTGTCTTCCTAGTGCTCCTCACTTAGAGGATTGTTGAGAAAAAATTTGAGGGAAAGCTTGTCCACAAGTCTGTCCAGGGAAGCTGTGATCAGGCAGGACAACCTCCAGTGCCGATGCCTGAGGCAGGAATGTGTCTGTGTGACTGAGATGAGCAAGGAGGCCAGCTGGCTGGAGCAGAGGGTAATAGAAATGACACCATGCAGGCCTCAAGCATGTTGAAAGGGTTTTGACTTTTCTCTGTGTAAGTTGTGGGGTTACACAACTTTTCTGGACAGATATCAACTTGTGAGATTTCTCTTTAGAAGCCTCAGTCTGACTGCTGTGAAGAATCAAGTGTTGACGAGTGAGAGGTGGAAAGAAAAGTGTAGGAAACCTGTGCAGATTCCAGGACAGAGAGGTTGGTGGCCTTGTTGGACTGTGAGCAGGAAAATAATATGAAGTGATTGGATGTGGGTATATTTAGAGATGGATTTGACAGCATTTCCTAATGGAACATCTGGACTGTGGAAAGAGGGTCAAGATTGACACTCGTATTCCAGACTGTGGAGTAGAGATGTGGAGGGCCTGCAGGGATATGAGGAAGGTTCTAGAGGTAATACATTTCAGGAATGGCATCCTAGGTATTCAATTTGAGTGTGGAAACTGAGATGTACCAGAAAGTCAGAGATGGTGGCAGTTGGACAGACACGCCTGTAGCACAGGTGGATCGTCTGAGCTGAGAAATAGCTTTGGGAGATGAGATAGAGATAGATAACTCTCGACCATGAATGAGGTCACCCAAGGAGTAATTCTTTCCATTTTCTTTCTTTTCAGAAGAGAAAGGAGCAGGACTGGACCCTAGGACCCCTGGTGTTCAGCAGAGTAAATTGCACAGTCCAACACCATTTGCAGAAGGCACAGAGACCAGGGAGCCCCACTTCAGCAAGCACAGGAGTCACATGGACACTCATGAAGACACAGAGGGTCTAGAGTAGATCCTGAGATTCTATTCTGAGACCCCTCTCCTTGTCTTAGGGGAGAATTTAGGGTTGCTTCCAAGAAGGGGGCACTTCATCCTTGGAAACAGAAACAGGAAGAAGTAACGGACCCTGGAGTCCTGAGCTGAGCTGTAGCTGTGCTCCATGCACTGCTGTCACCACCGCTTGACAATGCAGATCTTTGTGAAGACCTTGATGGGTAAGTCCCTCATGCTTGAGGGGGAGCGCAGTGACACCATCGAGATTGTCAAGGCCAAGATCCAGGACAAGGAGGGCCTCCCCCATGACCAGGAGAGGCTGATCTGTGCCAGGAAGCAGGTGGATGATGGGCCACCCTGACTGCAACATCAGGAGTCCACCCTGCAACTGGTCCTCCACCTCCAGGTTGGGATGCAGATCTTGATGACCCTGACGGGTAAGACCGTCACCCTTGAGGTGGAGCCCAGTGACACCATCAAGACCGTCATGGCCAAGATCCAGGACAAGGAGGCATTCTCTCTAAGCAGCAGAGATTGATCTTTTCTGGGACACAACTGAGGAGTGGGCGCACCCCGTCTTAGTACAACACCCAGGAGTCCACTCTTCATTTTGTCGTGTGCTTGAAGGGAGTTTTCTTAAATATATCTCCCTTTTAAGCTTTCAAAATATTTCATTGTACTTTTCTTTCAATAAAGTTGTTGCATAAAAAAAAAAAGGACTCCAGAGACTGAAGGACCCTCTTTATTTGGGGTATCTGCATAGAATGTGGGAACCAGTTGTTTTTATTTTTTTTAACATCATCTTTCATTTTTGTACAATGTACGCATTTTCATCTCGGTTATAGTCCCCGTGAAATTCCCTCCACCCGTTCACTCGTGGACTGTCACCGTGGTCCCTTGTGCTCTTCCCACCCTTGTTTTGATCCTACTACCTTCTCCCCTCCTGCAGAATGTCTCTGGGTTACAGTTGCATGTTCATTTTCAATTTTACTTTATTATTATTACTTTTTTTTCCTGATCCCTTCTTTGGATCCTCTACATTCCTCCTATAAGTACCAGTTGTTATGACTTGGAAACTAGGTGCTTTCTTGAGTCCCTAGGAGTCCCTAGGGAGGTAACTTGAGTACCTGTCACTTGTCACTAGACCTGGTGCCCTTTTCACAGATCCCTGTCCTGCCACTGGGGGCCCAGCGAGCCTGGGGAGGGCCTGGCTGAGCAGGAAAAAGGGCAGCTCTGGTCTCCTGTGCTCAGCCCTGTGGCCACACGGGGGCGCTGCCGCGCTGCTCCGGATTCTGGTGGAGCCGCCAGGACGGGGCGGGGGCTGAGGTGGGCAGAGTTGGGGGTCCTGGAGGGCGGCGTCCTGGGGTGAGATGCTCTGTGAGGAGTCAGAGAAGCAGGGCTCAGAGGAAAGGAGACTCCGGAACCTGCCCTGTGTGTGAGGTTTCCAGCTTTTCTCCCAGAACCCCTGTCTCCAGTCCCTGGACGGCGATACCTGGGAAAATTGGAAAAGAGAAAAAATTTTCCTTCTACAGCCTATTAAATAATGAGGGCATTTGAAAAAATAACATTTAAAGAACACTGTTAGATTTACAGAAAAGTTGCAGCGGTAGTACAGGTCTTGTTTATCCCACACCATTTCCATTTTGTTAACATCCTACATGAGTACAAGTATTTTTTTACAACTAATGCAGCAATGTTGACATAATTACTAAATGCCATACTTTCATTAGTGTTTGCTACTGTCCATTTTATGCTCCATAATCCCATCCAGTTTGCCTGGATGACAGTTTCTCAAACTTTTCTTGTTTTTATAGCATTGACATTGGTGAGGAGTGATGTTTAGGAGATGTGTTGGGGTCACAGGTGGGGGTTCTTGGGTCACCTCTAAAAAAAGCTTCACCAGAGTCCTCCTTTCAGTGGCGTGAGGGCACAAACACACACACACACACAGAGAGAAAGAAGAAGATGTCTGTGTAGACACAAGCAGGCAGGAATTGTTGCCCCTGGAGTGGGCGGGTGTGTTAGGAGAAGCCTGCAGGCCCCAGGCAGCAGCCTTGGGGGCAAAGCTGCGTCATCCTGGGGCAGAAAGGGCACGGAGGTAGTGTTCTTGTTGGGGGGGCTTCATTCTTTTGTGGGATTGTCATCTGTCTTTAAATTAATTATTCTTATGATGTGACAAGCTTCATTTGTCAGGAGCAGCGAGTCTCTGCAATGGCTCCATCCCCACATGCCATCTCTGGTCTGTGCCTCCTTATATTTCTTGTAGCATCTGATACTTGCTATCTCAGCTGGCCCCAAGCATTTTTCATTTATATAGTTGGTTTAATGACTATGTTAACCACTTCTACCTCCACCTCCACTTTCTGGTCATGTGACCCCTCCACCCTAAATTTTCTACTCTTGGCTTCCATCAAGGAGCACTGCTCAGGACTATTGTCCCTCAATTTATTTATTTATTTTTTTTGACTGGGACTGTGGGTTTGGGGAAGCAGACCCCAGGGGTGCAGGGCCATTTTCCATTCAACACATCAGCGCTCATCATGTCCACCTGACTCATCACTGATGGTGTTAACCTGCAACACCAGGTTAAGGCAGAATTTCCCAGATATCTTCCTGCAAAACTTATTTTTGTTCTATTTATTTATTTATTATTATTATTTTTAAAGATTTATTCATTTATTTACACAAGCACTGGGTACAGTCAGAAGCGCGGGAGGGTGAGATAATTCACCAGAGCCTGAGCGGGGAGCAGAACAGGCAGACTGACAAAGTATACTACTAAGGGGAGCAGTAGGCATGGCAGGAGAGATCTGCACACCTTATGGGACCCTCGCCGGCGGCCTGGGATCAAACCAGTGCTGCAGAGGCTGCGGGCAGCTTCGGGCACAGCCCAGTGCTCAACCACTGCACCACTGGGGAGGCCCTGTTCTATTTATTTAAGTGCTGTTGTCTTTTGAAGTTAGTCACTATGGGTGGCTCACATTTATGGGTGTTCTGCTATAAACATTTACATGCATGCAGAACCTGGTCAGACATGAGACCACAGGAGGGACCGATAAAGGTGACTCCCCCATGGAGTCCATTTACACTGTCCCCAGGGGCTCAGGGATCAAACCCTTGATCCACACTTACCTGCAGCCTGAGTGTAGTTTCCTCCTTGTCCTCCTGTGGAAAGAAACATCATGTGAGACCAGGGAGCAATCAAGTCAGAACACCTAAAGGAATCTTTTAATCCTGCACAACAGGGAAGTTTCCAGAACTGTAACTAAAGACCCAGGTCAGGACTGGGAAAAATGAAGAAAGGAGGTGAGGGGGGATTTGACCAAATGCCCTCTGGGCAAAACCCGTGTGTGTGGATGGTACTTCCCATTAACCAGGCAGGGCAAGTTCTCCCTGGGATGTGAAAGCCCTCAGTGGACAAGATCCCCCACTCCCTTCCCTACCTCAGCGCTTCTTCCTCCACATCACAGCTGCAGCCACCGCAGCTCCAGTGAGCACAGCTCCAAGGAGAACCAGGCCAGCAATGATGCCCCCGGTGGGGATGGAGGACTGAGGGGGCACTGGGAGGGAAGGGAAGATCACACCCTGAGCCCAGACCTATCCTGAGCCTCTGAAGGGCTCCAGAAGGGCTCCTGATGGCCCTGAGAACAGCCTCAGTGCCCATATCCTATTCCTTACCCCATCTCATGACTTGGGGCTCCAATAGACCCTCATGCTGCACGTGGCACGTGTATCTCTGCTCCTCTCCAGAAGGCACCACCACAGCCGCCCACTTCTGGAAGGTTCCATCTCCCCCAGGCCTGGTCTCCACCAGCTCCATCTCCTGGGTGAGGTCCTCCCCATCTCGCTGCCAGGTCAGGGTGATGTTCGCAGGGTAGAAGTCCAGGGCCCAGCACTTCAGGGTGACCTCATCCTCAGAGGTGGGGTGGTGGGTCACATGTGTCCTTGGGGGATCTGAGGTGGTAAATCAGAAAACTCACTTTGTGTTTCCTCCACGGACACTGAGGAATCCTCATGAGACCATCCTCACAATGGACAAGACAACTGGTGTGGCAGGAATGACGGGTGAAGGATGTCCTGAGAAAACTCCATACAGGCTTTGTGGACTCCACCCCCATGACACTGGGAACTACAAATCCCACGATCACCAAAGGGAAGGTTGGGAGGACCCAAGGGTGGAGTTAAGCAACTGGGCTCTCCGTTTGGGTATTTAACTGGTCATGTGGCCGGGAGTCTCTGGCTTGGCCAGGAGGCTTGCTAGGTTTTCGCCACCTCTGTGGGTCACTGGGATTCCAGGTCAGCGCAACGGGTAGGACGCATTTATGAACTTATCTCCCTCTTTTTCTCCCTGAGTTATTTATTTCCCATTTCCCCTTCCTGTTTAAATAAACCTTTCATCAACCTTTTGTGTGTGTCTGCAGTTTAGCATTCATAAGTCCCCTTTAAGCACGCAGGTGAGGACCCACAGTCAGGAAACCCCATTTTATATCGGGGTTTGCCCTGTAACAGCTAGAAGCATAAAATGTAAAAAACAGGCTAATCTGGGGAATCTGTGCGATTCTCCTATTCCTTAGAAAGTTCTAGAAAAAGGATGAAAACCCAGGGTAGGATAAAGCAGAGGGAGTGGAACACAGACTTATTATTCCTGACCTGGGTGGAAGGTGAATGACACAGAAAAGCAGGAATCACATAATGAAAATGTTCTCAGACCAGAAACAAGACTGAGAGAGAAACTCGTGGTTCTCAAACAGGCCCCTGGTCAGAAGGACCCGGTGACGTGTGATGTCAGGGACTGTCTGTCTTTCTCAGGAGAGACTGGATCCCTTCACTGTCCTTCAGGAGAAGCAGGAGTCTCTGGGAGTCTCTCTAGGGCAGAACATGAAACCCAGGGGAGTCCCCCCTCTCGGGACTAGAGAGAGGACTCATTTCCCGCAGTTATTCCAGGCAGGGGAGGACTGGGAGGCCTCCAGGCCCCTCTTACCCGTGCGCTGCAGAGTCTCCTTCCTGTACTCCAGGAATCTGAGCAGC